TCACCTACCTCTTGATAGCAGGGCTGAAACCTGGCTGCTGGTTTTTGACATGAGTTCCTCTTGAGGCCGTGCTGTTTCTTCTTTCTACATTGATTTGAACTGACAGCTATCATCCTGCCCAGTCAATAGGTATTGGAGTTTGCTCTGGGTTGGGGTTTCTCTTTCTTTATTTTTAATTTTTGTAAGTTCTTATAAGAAAGTTCCTGGAGTCACGATGTTCAGTGCTACCAATTTTGAGCGCAGGGCCACTTGTTAGTTCCTTATTACGTGTGGGCTAACAAGGAAGGAGATGCGAAAGGGTAAGGTGGCAGGAAAGCTGTAGCATCTCACTGGTGATAAGTCACCTCAAAAATAGGTTGTGACAACTGAACTAATGATGTCACCAATGCTGATACAAGTGGGCTGCTTCTCATTATGATTTCTCCACCAGACACAGTGACATTCACCAGCCAGTGTGTGTCTCATGTAGGTGATACATAGAACAAATCATAGGAAATGTGGCGCAGGAGGCATAGGATATAACATTTGCCCAGTTTTCGGTTTGTTTTATTTTACAAGAGCCCAATACTTCTGTAGATGATACAGGTGTATAGGTCAAGCTTAGCCTTGCTGGACCACTTTATCAAACCAGGGTCATAGGGCTCTCTTTGTGACATTTAGAGATAAGCATTTTGGAGGAAATGAGACGGAGCAGTCTGTGAGGGGATCAGAAGGGGCTTGTGTACCATCAGACCTCAAGTAAATTACAAATGCAGCATTGGTAGCCTGACCATTGATACGTCCTTTCTACTGGACGCAGTGTATTAAGACAGCAATGGATAAATAATGTCGTTTAGTTGACAGAAAGATGCATTTGTTGCCCATGGTTTTACCATAGATTTATTCTCGGTTTATTTTCCATAGAGTTATTTTTAATGAGATTGGAAAGGGAGTTAAAAATTATTTGGATTCAGATTTCATTGTGTAGCTACTTGATCAAAATATAAACTCGTTTATACTCTTGTAAAGGGAAAATGCTATATTAGCTTTCAGCTTTCAGATTTGATTCAGATAATGATACAGCATCCTAATTCATAGTCTCTGCTTCAGATACTGAATTTGTCTGTGATAGAGCCTTTTTCAGAAAGCTGCTCTATCCTGATAAATCATCCAGAGAGAGAGAGAACATACACATTTAGATGGCGTGGAAAAATAGGCTAATAATGTGATTGTATAGGAGTACTCAAGTATTTCAGTGCATTTGTGTTGATAAATTATAATTTATTTTAATGCTCAGTTGTATCTACCCTTTTCAGCTGTTCTGCTTGATCCCAGTGATTTGCTAGCTGTATGCAAGTGCTGGAGTTGGATGCTTTTCCTGTTTTGATCACAGCCCAGGCAGTAAAGGCCACCACACATTAAACAGATAATAAATCATATGGTGTCCTTGCTAACCAGCAGTACAGATTCCCCCAGTTCTCAACTGAACATCCTTCTTTCTGTTCAGTTTAGTGCAGAGAAGGTAAAATTCTATTTGATGTTAGTGTAGTATTTTGGGTTTGACGAGGAATTTTTCCAAACTGCCAAAAATAAATCTCCCCAGCATTTTCAGCTGGTGGCTCCAGCATATGTATTCCTGACTCGTGTTTATTTTTACTTCCCTTTTGTTGTAAGATGTCTAAAGTTTTGATGCTGTTTAGCCAAGAAAAGAATTATAAAAGCAGCCTATAAACTCCTTCCAAGGAGAGGAGGAAAAGAGGGGAGAAAACAAAAAACAGTCTGAAGAAGGTGTTTATGCTTTTTGTTACGGTGTGTGCCATTTATCCACTTTACCTCATGATGTATTTAGTTGCACTTAAAATACTGAGGCAAGTTCCTTGCAGTTTCTGTTCCTAGACAGTTTGCTCTGTGAAGATAATAGAAGTGGGATGCTCTGTCTCTATTGTGTAGCTGCAACAAATGTCAACTTATTGCTAAGATTTCAAATTGTCAAAACATTTTACCCAGTTAAACTGCACTCTTATGATCAGTGTTTCCCAGGATTGCCCCAGATTGATCACAGTGGTATAACCAAGGACTTGGCAGTGGGACTGAATCATTTTGGGCTGCATTCTCCTCTATCGTGAAGTGTTTTAAAAACAGTTTTACCAACAACAAAAGCTGCTGTCTAAATCAAGCACATCATGTTTTCCCATTATGGCATGGATTTTGCTTGGTAACGTTTTGATTGCTAAGGGATGAGTGTTTAGCATCCTGAATTTGCTAAGTGGAGGATGTGTGGGATTCAGATTTAGTGCTTGAAAGCTTTTCTCCTTTTTTGACAGCTTGACCAACTGTTTGCTTGGCTTTGGGATGCCCCTTTTATTCCTTTCCCCCCCCCCCCCCGTTTCCCTCTTCTCTCTGCTATTAAATAACCAACATCTCTCATTACTCAACATATGAAGCAAAGTCCTGCCATAATTTATGTCATGAAATAAAAAGTGCTGCAAATACTGTCTATCAAAAGTTTGTACATGTCAATAGCAGGCTCTTGCCTAGAGCTTGCCATGCACACAGAGGAGCAGGGTTTGGGTTCTCCTACCACCAGAGCTGACCAGGCTTGATTTACTGAATGCCACGGCAGTGCTTTGTCATCTCCCAATGTACCAAGGGCGATTCCTGATGTTTAGGCAGGGGAATAACACCCTGCTCTTGAGAGCAGTGCAAGTGAGAGCTGGGGCTGGTCTGGAATTAGATCTCTTCTATTTTTGCTTTCAGTTTTGACATCAGTTTGCTGACTGGTGCCAAACTAGTTGATAAATTCAGAGGCAATACTAGGGACAGGAAGCCCTAAAGCTGATGATTTTCTACCAGCTCAGATTTTTATTTCAAGTAATGTTGCTTTGCTTGGATGGTATAATTTTCCCTGATTTTTATGAAGGGTGCAGTATACTGACTCTAAATGTAATGCCTCTGTAATTTCACTGTGTTAAAACCTACCATGCTAGAATTAAGCTCTGAATGTGGGCATTTATTTTGCCATCGACAGTTAATGTAATGCTACTTTCTTCAAGCCATAGACAGTTAATATAATGCTACTTTCTTCAATGTCATTGTCATCATGTTACAAAGAAAAACATGTTATAAACGTGCACAACCCTCTGGTCTCCCAGAGGAGTTGGAAAGTGGAGAAAAGATGCTTAACCTGCCAGTTTGCTTTGGTAGAGGTGTTATTTGTAGATGTTTGTGATATACAAGGATAGTATCTAACCTTTTTTCTGTCCTAAAACAACAGAAAATATCAGGAAACATGTAAGTGATTTGATTTAGTCTAAGAAGAGAAGTGTTTGGTTTGGTGCCCAAGAGGGAGCTTATAAAGCTGCAACATTATCCTTAACTTGATAGGGATTAGCTGTATGTTAGTGCAGTAACCATGTAAGAAGTGAAATTTGGCTGATCGTTTGTCCTTGATAGCTTCATTTGTGTTTGGCCCCCTAAGCCATTTCTCAGGGAGTGGGAGAACTGATATTCCAACTCTCTGCATGACTTGTCATTTAAATGACAAAAATCACATCTCTCAAAAGCCTACTTTTCCTTCAGGAAAATCAGATTAAATCTAGGGCTTAGGGTGTTTTGGTGAGTGCTTTAATGTCCAATATGCTGCATTACCCTAGATATAGAAGTAAGTGCATTGGAAAGGAGAATTTCCCAATTTCTCAAGGTCACCTTTTCTGAAAGGCCTAAGGCTTTAACAGACCCTTTTTATATTGAGAAAATACTTTGAAGACTTCTTTAAGACCTCTTGCCAGAGGTTCAGGATAGCTGAGGGGCTGTGGCCAGTGTGAACAGAGGAAGATTTCAAGGTTTCTTAAGCAGTTTGTGAGTGTCCCAGTTGCGAGCTGTATTTTTAGAGCATCATAGGCCTCTTGGAGGGAACATCCAGAGGCTTACTAGATCTCACCTGGCCCTAAAAATAGGTCCTCAGCACCCACAGTACATCTGGTCAGCTGTGCCTTTGAAATCTCCAAGGATGGGAAGTTCACCTTCCCCCTGGGTAAACCCCCATCAGTGCTGCCCACCTGAATGATGCAGCGTCATGTTACTGGTTTATACCTCTCACAGATTTATTTCTAACTCTAAATACAGCAAAGTTGCTGCTTGTGCATCAGTGTAATACCGCAGCAACACCAGGAGTCCAGCTTCTGGGATGTGCCCGAATAAGTATACTCTGCAAAGTGGCAGGATTATATTCTTCAGGCATGCAAATAATGAGAATTCTGAGATTTTTAAATGAATTAAACCCAAACCAGTGTAAAAGTGGAGCCACGGAGAAATTTATGCAAGATAGATGTAACTTTGTTGTCCTAAATTAACTTGGCTGCTAAGTAAAAATATTCTATAAACTTTGAGTGATTCTGTGGGCAGTATTTTCATGAATTTTGTGGCACTGTGTTGTAATTGGGAAGAAGAAATTTTGAGTTTTATAGAAACCAACAAATAAATAGGTAAATAATAAGAAGCCAACTGTCTTCTTCAGTGTGTCTGTCTCCAGGTCTCTGATGGCTAAAGTCAGAGCACTCTTGAGAAAATCATTAATAAAATAGACCATTTACAGAACAGCAATACTCTAAGTTGAAATGATGCTCCAGAGTCCTCTTCCTTTAAGCCTAGCTTCCATTTGTGGAAATTTCTCTGGCGTAAGTTCAGAGGTGTAGCTGCTGTTCAGGTAGATAGAGGCATTTACTTCTAATCGCATTAGTCTTTCAGCTGAATTATGAGATTGAAGGCGTTCAGTGCTTACCCAACATCACTGCAGGTTTGTTAATTAATGCTGTTTGCAACAGATACAGGTATATGTCAAACTGGAAATGCAGACTCGTTCCAAATGAATCCTAGATATCTTTCTACTTTAATCAAAGCTTCCATAAAATGTGATCAGGATTTAAGTAGCATTTCAGAACTGAAAATAGTGTGAGGGAAAACTTGATAATGACTTGTCCTTCCAAATTTTTCTGATGCAATATCTTGCTTCTGTCTTCCAGGACCTGCGCAAACAGGTAGCTCCATTACTGAAGAGTTTCCAGGGAGAGGTAAGAGCTTATGCTTCTCATGGTGCCTTTGATACTGCTTTACTTGAGTGTGTTGTGCTGCCAGTCTTTCAGCACAGCCGTGTGCGTACAGAGCCCTTGAGCAGAGAACACTGCAGGGGTTCAGCCCTTGGACATGGTGCTGTGTGCAGGGTCTGTGCACAGCAAGCTAAACTGGTCAAATCACTTTGCATCGAGCATACCTGAGCATAAATTTACCATTGCAGTGACTCAGGCACGCGCCAGTTCATGGTATCTCAGTAACAGTGGTTGCAACACTTAGTGCAATGTAATGTACATATAAAAATATGATGATAGTACAAATAGTTTTCAGCGTAAACCTTTTCAGCTGTGAACTGCTGTATTCTAGGGGGCTTGATGAAAAACCTGATGAAAGTTGGAAGGTGTTTGTTGCGAAGACAAGAGAAAACATTAACAGCTCTGGTGCTGGCTCTTACTTCACCACTTCCACTAAGAAACACTTATGATCGCTCTCATCAAGTTTAAAAAACAACTGTTGTTATTTTGAAGAACTTCTCTAGGAAAAGGCAGCTGGGCCCATTACAGGATTTTACATTTCATCTGTGGGCAGCACTGAAGTGCTCACTTCACGTGAGTGCTTCAGCCAGATGGGAGCTGTTGTGTTGCCTCTAGGAAAATGTGCTGTATGAAGTTTTCAAATCATATGTCTTCTTACAAAGATCACTGCCTGCGTGGGGTGGGAGATTGAGGTTTTAGCTCACACTCTGCTACATGTTGTAGAGCTCTGTTCCTAAAGTTAGCTGTGTTGAAGCCGCAACGCCTTTTACTTTCTCAATCTATAAGCTTTTGGCTGTCTTTATATTGTTGCAGCTCCCCTCAGAGCACAGAGAACTTCAGGAGCGTGTTTTCAGAAGTCTGCATAAGTTATGAAGTGCACAACTCCTGTTATTTGTAATGACAGTTGGATTTCTGGTTGCTTGTACATCCTGCTAAATATGCATCACAAACAGGCAATAATTCCTCACCTTAAAAGCAGTATATATTTTTTTTATTTTATAACCCAATTTCCCAAGTACTACTAGAAATAAATAAATAAACAGGACAACTTGCTCCTTGATATATGTAATGGTAATTTGTGAGAACAAAGAATGACTTGTGTGAGTCCATTTGCCAGTGGAAATTTACACTTCAGAATTGCTTCGAGTGGATTGCAGAGCTCTTAAAACCTTTCCACTTTCGTTTCAAGCTTGCAACGCACTGACTATAAAGTGTATGTGTGCTTTCAGCACTGTTCTTTAATGAAGGGAATGTCTGAGAATCAAGTAAGAATCATAAATCCCAATTTGGCTATAGCAAAGGAAGATTCTCCTCTTAGATCAGCTCACACACTGTTAACCTTGGTCTGGCTCATACACCCTCCTCCTCCTCTTTGGTTTTGCTTCACTAATGTAAAGGTGAAGTTTATGTTGGAGAGCAAGTGTCCTCGAGCAGCAGTAGGGAATGCTATAGGAGTGCTCTGGTTCACACCTAGGTGGGCATTGTGGATGGATGGTACCACTGAACTTTGGAGCACCATCTTATTCTCACTGGCTGCTTATATGGAAGCTGGGAAAAAGGGTTCTTGCATGATGCAGCTTCTCTGTTTACCATGAGGGAGAGTCTCCACCACATTTTTGCCTTTGAATCCTATCTCCACCCCTACTGCTATTGCCCCATCATTTCTTGATCTGTAATGACAGAACTAAGTAGGTGCTATTTGCATGTCCAAGTAATGATATATTACGATTCCACCTCAGAAGGGAAACATCTCGTGTGGGATGACTGTTCCCACATGAGAGAGCTCTGGGCACTAGGGAGGGCCAGAAGATCAGAAAAGACAGACAGGTCCCTAACTAGCAAAGGTGTTTAAGTAGCTTTACATAGAATCATAGAATAGATTACCATGGATGTTGCTGTGTTCTTGCTGCCTGAGGCCTGGCTCCCCATCTCCTGCCTTGCCTTAGCACTTTTGCTAAACAGCCCGGAGAAGAGAGGGCTGCGTGGAGACGTTATAGCAGCCTTCCAGTATCTGAAGGGGGTATAGGGATGCTGGGGAGGGGATATTCATTAGGGACTGTAGTGACAAGACAAGGGGTAATGGGTTAAAACTTGACAGGGAAAGTTTAGATTGGATATAAGGAGGAAATTTTTCACTGTCAGGGTGGTGAGGCACTGGAATGGGTTGCCCACGAAAGTTGTGAATGTTCCATCCCTGGTGGTGTTCAAGGCCAGGTTGGACAGAGCGTTGGGTGCCATGGTTTAGTGTGAGGTGTCCCTGCCCATGGCAGGGGGGTTGGAACTGGATGATCTTAAGGTCCTTTCCAACCCTAACTATTCTATGATTCTATGATCCCAGGGTGAGCACAAAGTTTTCTTTCCCCCCTCTTTTTTGCTTGCTTAGTTTTCTGCCAGGTTGGTTCACTGAAGCAGCTCACTGCAGGCACGCGCTGGGCAGGGAAGAGGCAAGGAAAGTTAACTCCAAGGTCAGGAGGAGTGCAAATGTGTCAGCCTAGGTTGACTTAAACTGTCCTTGAACTGTACCCTCGGTGAGCCTGACATGCCTTGGAAAGAGGTTAACTTAAGCTCACGCATTTAGATACCCTCCCAAGCATGCTTTATGGGACATCTGCTTGTAAACCTGTGGGCAGTTGACTTTCTACAATAAATCCACGGGTCACTTGAGCCAATTTTTTTCTTTTCAGGATATTGATACTCCTCCTCCCTCTCCTCCTCATCTTCCTTTTGTATAATATGAATTTATCAGTAAGTCTGCCCAAACCACAACACTCTGTATTCCACAGATATTTGTCTTGTCCATTCAGCTGAAAATGGTTCCAGCTATCAAATACTCAGTTTCCATTAGTAGTTGGAGATAACTTTTTTTGTATAGATCTCGGTGCTTTAAGTAATTGGGGTTTTTTTATGATAACAGTTAAAGAAAAAGCATTATGAAATGGAATTTAGCATTCCACAAATTTTAAAATGCATTTCTAGTTCAACGTGAGACCCTGTTCATCACTGTCGTATAATTTTATTACAGTACTTTTTCCTTATTTAGGATTTTAATGGAAATTTGGATGCAGGCTTGAGGGTTTTTTAGTTGACAGAATGTTGTGTCTGATTCACAGCATTGTTATTCTGATTTTGGGGGGTAACTTTTCTAGCTTTCCTGGAAGATTTAAGGTCTGGATGGTGTAAGTAGGCTGTTGTGAGCAAGACAAAAGTCATTAATTTAAAAGGTGTAAAATTCTTGGTGTTTCCATCTTAAATCTCTGTATGTGTGTCCCCCTTTTTTTTTTCTTACCATTAATGTGAGGATGCAACGTGCTGGGCTAAATACAGGACAGAATCACAACAGGCTGAAGAATCCTGTCATTCAATCCTAGAATGATTGGCAAGGCACTCTTTCAAGCAGCCATCTGAATAAGCTGTGTTCCTGCAGGTCACTGTGCCTTACCTTATTTATATCAGTGGGTAGATATTAGTACATGAAATCCTAAAACTAAAGAAAAGAAAGAAGTTGCGTTCTTGGGCTGTGTTTAGAGAACTTTTAATTTACAGAACTGAAGTTGTGGTATGGAAATCTAATGTTGGAATCTGTATTTGTGAAGTCATCAAATAGATATTTTAAGGCTGGGAAAGGATTTCCTGAGGTCATTAGCATTCTTTTCATGTGGCATAACAGTACTGTCCAACAGTAATGCAGTAATCCCTCATTTGGAGAACCCTTTAAGGCATATACTCCAAACCAATGCGCTGGACTTCACGTCTGTGAAAACCATTTCTCATATTCTTCTCACAGCGCAAGTACTTTTAAGGGTATTGCCGTTCTGATGAGCCCACTCTGGCTCCCCACTTAGCTGAATTGCACTTCAAACTATTAATTTGGTCAGTAGAATAATTGAATAATTTTCCATATGCAGACATCAGAAGCTGAAGATCAGTTTGGTGTGCTGGAACTACTAATCGTGCCTCTGAAGGAGTGCTGTAATTGTGTGCCTGAACAACTTCAGACCTACTTTTCTTCTCTGTTTTGAAGGAGTATTCCTGAGCTGATACTTTTTTTTTTTTACCCCCTTTAATTTCCTTATGTTAAATTTACAAACCTAATTAATACAATTTCTTTCCTGTAGGTTCACTCCATGATGGCTCAATTAGAGTAGCAGTAGAACTGTGGTTCAATATTCAGGCCAGCTTCATAATTGAAAACACATTTTCTTCTCAAAAGCTGCAGCTGGTTTGGTTCTGCTCATGCAGAAAAGGATATAACCTTGCATAACATAGGAAATGAACGGTTGAGAGAGAAGCCAAATTCAATTTCAGTCAGATATTTTGAGGATAAGTCCATGATCTATGGAAGCAAGGGAATGAAAAGTGTGTGTATGTGGAAAGCAGCGTATTCAGCACTCTATTAATCACGGCTAGCCTGGGTGCTGTTGTGTGCTGTTGCGTTAGCACTGATTCTAGTACAGAGGCTGGAGAGCAGCCAAGCACTCCAGAAGTTAACCTCTTAAAGACCCTGAGCTGCTTTCTGTTGAATAAATGTAATTTTGTGGTCAGACATAAATGCTTGTGATGTAGCAGGAGCTTTGAAAACAACAGCGTGGCAAAGCTGTTACAAATTGCTCTGTGTTGGGGAAGTCAACAGCATACATCAAAATTCAGCACTCACGTCACGCTGATTTAGGCCCAGAGCTTTCCTGCTTTAAAAGCACTCCGTGTAACAAAATGGGGTGAATCTAACATTTTGGGTGGGTAATTGGTTTGTTTTCACATCCACCCCATGGGGTGTGGGTGCTGGATTATTTCCTTCATGTAACAGGAGCATGGGGATGGTTTTATGCTTCACCTCGGATCTGTTTCCCAGCACTATCAGGGAAGGGAGAGGCACACCGTGTACTTTTGGGGCAGCAGCAGCTCAACAGTGTTTCATTCCTTTGTTTACAGACGTGTGTAAATGATTATTTATTTCATTTTGGCTG